TTGCGGTCACCTGTACACTAAGACCGATTGAGTGCTTGCAAGAACATCGGTGCCATCAGCAAGTAAGAGCCAGACAAGCATTTGCGCAGCAAGGAGAGGTAAGCAAATGTTTTTGCAACAGCCGCCACCAAAGGATGCAACATGCGTGGTGGCCTTTCCATTCTTATGAAGAAGGCCAACCCGCTTCGTGGTCCAGTACATTGACAGGCTCCAATGACCATATTTTGGCACATCCTTTTTGCATTCGCACTTGCCATCCATGGACTGAAACAACTTCAGGACATGATGCCATTCCGCATCATCATGCCTTGCCTCATTCAAGTGGTCGATGGCCTTCTGCACAGCAGCCTTTCCTGGCCCTCGCTCAGGCTTAGCTGGTGCCTCCTCAGCCTTTCCCTCGCCAGTAATCAGCTCCGCTTGCGCCGGAGGCGATTGAGATTGCGCAACAGCTTTTGCCTGCGCAGCAGCAGCTTTTGCCTTTGCTCGCGCTCTCTTCTTGGGCTGCTTCACTGGTGGAGAAGACTGGAGATTCTCTTTCTCCTCATTCCCCTCCACAAACAATTGCCTTCGCTCAGGAGTGTTTGCGACTGGCCTCTTCGGTGGATGCTTGGGATCCGGAGACTCTGGTGCCACTTCGGGAGCTGGCTCTTTTGCCCGATCAGTCATCTCAGGCACAGCAGGGATTGAGGAAGAGTTCTTCCCACGACCACGTCCCCGTCCCCGCCCACGACCTTTGGCACCTGCTTCTTTCTGCTCAGCTACCTGTGCCAACTGCTCCCGCCGAGTGAGGACCTGCGCTGAGAAAGGCAGGTGTATAGGTTCTCATGATTTAAGCCAGTGAACTTACAAAGAGACCTGTCGGGACAGAAAAGTTAAATTTACATCGGTCTTGGGGTATAAGTAAAGAGAAGTCTAAAACAGCAGGACCATGACAAACATACAAAATATACCTATATACATATATATATATATACCAACTTTACGTGTCGCTGGGTGGGGTCAAACATGACTATATACATATATTTATTGAGCGAACACACAAACAGACAGGAGTGGCATTGTGCCCTGTGCATGATGCCAGTGTTTTGCCAGAAAGGTTGTGACATGTTAAAGAACACACCCTGGCCTGCTCCTTCTCCTTTGGGGGCGGGTCTGCAGGAGTAGCCACACGCTCGCCCCTCTCAATGATCTCAGCCACTGCTGCGGTCATCCCACCAGTCAAATCCATCGGGATAGTGGGGTCAGTGTCTCCGCCCATGGGAAGTGATTCCGTCACAATCAGTGCCCCACCTGTGACTGGAGGAATCGACTGGATGTCTGCGGTGATTTTTGCTTGGAGAGTCCTTGGCACATTTCAAGGTGTAGTGTTATATCAGTCAGTTCACATCGGTTCATGCGCAAGGGCTGTGTTGGCACATTCCGTTTAGTTTTCTGTGTCATCCATGCTTGGTGCTTGAAGGGCAAGAAGACAAACATACCGCAATGGGACCACAATGGGTACACCGGTTTAATACAATCCATCTATACCAAAGAATGACAGAACTCGTGTTGAAAACCCGCAACACAAAAGCAGTGCAAGGGTAACAGGCAGTGCTTTAGTTTTGCAGCATTTCAACTTGAGAATTCTTTGGAGTAAAGCAGGCAGCTTTCTTGAAAATGCCTCTTCAAAGTAAAAATGAACTGCTTATATATACATCCTTAATTTCAGCAAATAAGCCCGGGACTCTGCTTCCTTCATTTGCTGCTCCAAATGTTTGATTTGCTCTCGGAGTGCTTGGGCTTGTTCTTCTTTGGTGGGCTCCCTGACTGGAATATCCTCGACCTCCTGCAATTCCATCTTCACCGGTGAGTCTTCGATCAGCACTGACTCCTCGGCCTGCTTGTTGAGCGACGGAGCCAGTGGACGTGCCACTGGACGCGCCGGCTGCTTTGCCATCTCAACATCTTTCAGAACAGGAGTGGTCTGGCTGGAGTGGTCTGGCAGAACAGGCTCAGATTCTTCAACCACAACATCAGACTGATCAGTCGATCCCGACAAGCCGGTGCTGATGAACTGATCGAACCAAGCGTCCTCAGTTTCCTCGACCTCATAATCGTTCTGGTCATAGATCAAGCCATCACTAGCCGCTCCTGACTCTCCTTCTCCATCGCTTTCTGGTCCATCAGGTTCCCATTGATTGCGAGGCTGCAAGGGATTCAATCCAGCAAAAGTGCACATGTTTTCTGACAAGTATTGGCAAGTCTTCAACAAACAGCGCGCACGCATGTATAATTTTCAGTGCTCATGCACAGCCCACATTGTGAATGTGTGTATGTATATATATATATATATACGCTTTACCGCTCATGAACTTTGCACGCTGAAGATATAGACATTGTGTCGCAATAGCTTTTGGAACTATATACACCGTCGCCTGGATGTCCGGGTCAAGAATTCGCTGAAGGGCCAAGAAGTGAAGGTCCTTAATTGTAAAAGGACTAAGCGATTGTCGAGCAGCTCGGCGATCAAACTGAACAGTAAGAAGACAGACCATTAGGACTCTGTATATATATACATATGTCCCAACGGCATAATCACCCCAAATTGTATATGGGACCAACCATGCACTTCCATTAAAACGACAGATTGCTTGACATGTCCTTAATTGTGACGGGGGTTGGTAAAGCCATGCAAGCTAGTGCACCCAAGCCACATGTGAACCCAGGTTCTTGTGAGTTCGCATTTTGATGAAAGAGAGCATGCTTTTGGCCGTCCAGGCATCGAGCTTGACTTTGTCCTTCTGCGGGATGAGGTGCATTTTGCTTCTGAACAGCTTGATCCTCACATGCGCTTGAATCACAGGGTCCATCCATGGAAGGATTGCCAGAGGCTGCAATATATATAGAGTTCAATTTTTTGACGCTTGTCTAACTTGTTTACAAGTCTCCTCACAAACAAAATATATACACATATGATGATGGTTTGCTCAGGGAAACCACCGCCCATATTTCATATTCTCTGGTCAAACAAGTTGGTGCCTCCTGGTTGACAAATGAGAGGGTCAACCGGTCAACCTTGGACAAACATACACAAAGGTACATATATTTGCTCTACAAATATAAAAACAATTTGTATAAGGCTTGGGCAAGACTCTCTGCACCAAGCTCCTTCACATATGGCACAGGGTGGTGTGGATTCTGGGCCATGCGCTGTAGTAAGGGCCGAAGAACGAATTGATTGTGGACTGCATCCCGAATACCGAACTTGATGCCAGCAGGGACCCCATCTGCAGCTGGTGGCCTAGAAGCCTCAAACAATCGATCGGCTCTGATTGCGACTTGACGAACAGCGGGTTGTTCTTTCCACTCCCGGTACACCCGTGAAATCTCACAGGTGGGAAGCTCTTTGCCCTCCTTGTCCTTGAACGGCATCGAGGCGCTGCCAAACAGAATGCCAGCTAGGATTGAGCACGCAAAAATGGCTTTAGGTATGAAAAAGCAAATTCTATAATGCCCAGGTCCGTCATTCATTCACGAGACAGGCATCAAAGTTCGAGCATGTTTGGGACTGACCACTGCAGGCTTACTGATGATGGCCTGAGTCTCCGGCCGATCTGCTTTGCTGTCCGATGAAAGAAGGGCAAAGCGCTGGGTCCATGCCAGAGTTTGGCAAGAAGCGGGACGGAATGAAATGAACTCAAGCTTTGGTGTTTGTCACAGCCCTAAACAATTATAGGGGCATATAATGAGAGCATTTCAATGTCAGGTTCTTGTGGAGACTTGAGCTGGTCTAGCTCCAAACATTTCCATACATCATCCACATACAGTCAAAACAGATTTGTATTCAGCCCAAATGGCCTCACAGAAGAAGCCTTCACCTTCCAACATGCCAGGCACGTCCAAAAACCTGGTTTTCGATATGGCCAGGGTGGTACCTAAGAAACTACGGGTTTTGACACACAAAACCAGGTTCTTGTCAAAAAACCTTTGTTTTGGCCATAGGGCTGAGCCGATGGATGGAAGTGGAAAACGGTCCCTTCGACCTTCGAAAAGGGTATAGGTGTCCACTGCTGGAAAGAGACTCGGATCATCTCCAACTGTTCTTTTCGGTTTGATCATGCACCTCATGCTATACCTTATAGGGACATCTCGTTAATTGCAATTACAAAACGGATGCCGAGGGCGGGATGTCTTCCATCAGCAAGAATAGGCATAATTGTATGCATGCTTTTCGAGGATGTTGGATGGATTAGGCAAAAGGACCATTTCGGGGCCAGGCGGACCGTGGGGTCATGACGTGTTGCGAAAACCGCCATGTTAGTCAAAGCTTTGGGTTCCAGCTTTCGGGAAACAAAGAAATGCGTGTGTTGTTGTGCGTGTTTCTTGGGATGGTTGAAGAGGATTATTTGTATGCATTTGGAATGGTAAATCCATCCAAATTGACACATGGCTCCAAAATAGGATGCCACCACCCCAAAACCTGCAGCGACACCCACATCAGTGTGTATTAAAATAGAGGGACCTCCTAAAAATAAAGGATGAAGGAAACTAGACCAATACCCTGCATTGGTCAAAGGCCTCTCATGGCCTCTCTATTGAAAAATACGTCCACAGATCACCTGCTTGAGCCCCATGCACATGCATTAATGACGGAGACCTCCTAAAGATCCTGGTCACATGTGTTTCAATATGGTGGATTGATTGATTGCTGCTTTCAGTACACCCAGCGAAAGAATTCTGATTATGTGGATGCCATGGCCCCGAAGACTCTCGGATGACCATTTTCTTCAGACCGAACAGGTGGTGAACTTGACTGACACCAGGAGTCACAGGAGCCACAGTGGTTTGTATCGTCCCATCCAGTGAGTGGATGTGACAGGCGCACCCAGTTGGGCACTAGTACTCCTTCACCCCGACTTCCTGTGACTCCTGGCGTTTTGGTTGGTTTCCTCCAAGACCTGGCACCTGGTTATCATGGTCAAGGTCCAACTCCTCATTACTGCGGTCGGCACCTCTCACAGGCGGCCGGCGCCCGGGATGGAGGCGACAGGCTGGAGGCAATGCTTTGGGGTGGATTCGGAGGCGAAACCAGTGCAAACCCTGATGGTAACATACCAGAAACCACTCGGGATAGAGAAAGCTGCGGTATTTAAATGGATTTAAGTTATTTTAACTTAATATGTTGTGTGCAATGGCTTTTGGGTATTTGTGGTAGTGCAGGAATTCTTGCTTCAATTCTTGCGACAATATGCTGCTGCCAAGTTGAAATGTTGCTATATAGTGTGTCGATCACCTGTGAGTCATGAGTTACTCTCCCGCAAACGGACCACATGGAACCTGAGAATGGACTCGTATTTTGAACAGACCAACCCGAGGTGGTTTTACGGTTCCATGTTATATAATCCTTTGGGAGGGAGAGTTCAGCAAAGAGACACTTATAAATAACTTATAATCATATCTTTGCGGATGAGACAAGGTCAATCCCTACCTGCAAAAGACGTGGCAGGTCGGTCGACCAAGGTCGTGGCTGACTGTACAGTCAGCGGGTTGGCCACGAGATCTCACCGACTTGACCGTTTCTTGGGGAGACTTCTGAGAAGGGTGCTACTGGACTCAGGTTTGGGGACTTGTCAGATGATCTGACGTTCAGCACACTCGCTAGACTAGATGGGTTTGTATTTCACTTTGGAGAGCTCCCCACCAATCAGTGTGTGTTTTTCTCCCGCCGAAGCACGCGGTAAGAAGTCGCCTTCTTATATGACCCTCCCAGGTGTTGCGGTGCATTTTTCACCGGTCCTTTTGATGTGAACTTTGGAGCCCGGGATGAAACTGAGCTACAAAAAGGCATCAAAAAGCATTTGCTCAATGATTTGAAGAACAGGATGGTGAACTCCAGGTTGTAAAGGCTACCAAGTTTGTACAATGTACAGTGGTTTCAGAGTAGATGGCACAATCCCAAAAAGCTGCTTTGTATGGACCCTCATCTAAAGACATCTTCAGGTTTGTGCCATCTACTCTAAAACCACTGTAAAGACTTCTGGCTTTCGGTGTTCCTTAGTTTTTCTTGTTTCACGCTTCTTCCAGCGAGAATCTGCCTTCGAAACCTCCAACAAATTCACTGCTGGTGGTTTGGGAAGAGGATTTACTGCGCAACACGTGAGCGCAGTGGCTGCCTAGCCGCGGAGGTCTCTCACTTGCCCAGCCTTTTGAACTCCATGGGTTATGAAACCTGGGACTTGCAGGCGCGGCGCGCGCGGGCGTGCGGGCCATGGTGAAGAAGGGCCGTGGAGCTTGTGGGCGATTGGAGGTGATGACGTCAAGAATGAGCCATGATTCAAGATCACTCAAAGACTGACTGACCGTTTGAACATCTCAATTCCAAAATCGTGCAGACCTTGCCTACTGTATGTGGTTTCCACCTGGTAGCATTGTAGGGCCGAAAGGTCCAAGTCTAGGGAATAGCTATGTGTGTTTATTGTGTCCTTCTTATAGTTCCTGTTTCTCGATACTGCTGTTGCTGTTTGTATTTTATCCTGGTCCTTGCTTATTTGTTCATATTTGTTCTCCTTGTTCTCCTGTTCCTTCTTTGTTTGTTGTTGTGTTCTTTTTGCTCTTGTTCTTGTCCTTGTTGTTCTTTCAGGCACCATACCGATATCGCCATGAAGTGTGCAACTACTATAGTTACTACACTCCCTAGAACTAACATGGAAGTGGCGAATGGCCCCTTGGAAGACAATTTTCCATGTTCCTTTACAAACAGGGGGTTGTCCACTTCCATATTAGTTGCAGGGAGAGTAACTATTAGTCACTCACACCAGGTCATTGAGGAGACTTTGGAAGATGCCACTCTGGCGCCCTGCACGGAGCTACTTGCCTCAGACTGCCGCGGTGATCAGTGTCTTTACGACGGATCTATACTTCCTCCATAAAGGGGTGGTTAATTGACAGCCTGGAGCGTCGGTCTTTCCATGTCGTACCTGTTTTTGTTGGGTTCGGGTCAAGTCCCATGTTCTACGACCGATGTCGTGTCCGATCCAGCTCATTTGGCCTTTACGATGTTCTTTTTTCCACATGCGCACTGGCATGAGTTGCTGACCCTTCCGAACCATCCGTGGTCAAGCTCGACCTTTCGGGTTGGTCCAAATCGCTGGGCTTTGGGACATGATAGACTCTGAACACCGCGGCCTGGCTTGGGGGTGCTTGGCTCGTTGCAGTTCCGATCTCGTCATGCCGAAGCGTGCACGCTGACCGCTGAGCCGTCCTCGCAGCGGCTCGCCGCGGAACCGCTCCAAGGCTTGAGCTGGGAGATGTGTGGAGGTTTCTCATGGAGCACCGTGGCCGGACAACGGGTTCAACCCACCGACTGTGGTGGGTGGGCCCCTAAATTTCCATGAAGTGTCACTTTCTGAAGACAACAAAATACGTGTAAAGACATGTAAAGTACGTTCTTCTCTAGTTTCTTCTTCCTCACATGGTGGGTCCACCTTCACCTCCGCTCCATCATCCTTGTCTACAATATCACCTGCAGGCTTGTCAGCCTGGTATACTGTACGTCGTGCGGAGACAACCCGGGAGATTCAGGTTCAGGGACCAACAGGCTCAGCCTGGCCAAACCTACGAACGGCCGGCGATTCAGTGGGCGACCGTGTCAACATGATTTGCTATCCAAAGGGAGAGATGTTTGGACCTTGGCACCATACCTGCCACCTTGAACTTGGACATGCTTGAACCATAGACATTGGAAGAACCTGCGTCAACAAAGTCAACTTCGAGAGCTACGCCACGCAACAGATTTCATCCCGTTCCGCCCAATTTTTTGGCGATCACAACTTGTTTTTGATATGGGTCCCACGAAGAGGTGTGTGAGCTATTTTTGCTTTTGTCGCTGAGGTGCTGCTGCCTTGCTTCGTGAAAACATGGGTGGGGGGGTCGGGGGTGCAATGACGTCGATTTTCTTTCATTCACTCGAAGATAACTTCGTACTTTGTTTACTTTGAAGATAACGTTGCACTTTGTTCACATTAAGATAGCCTCGTAGTTCGTTGATATTCGTTGCATTGTGGAGGATTTTGGTTCAACAATGGTTTGCCCCCAAGCCTTAGTCTTGGTGTTCGTCTGGTTACTTCGCATTGCTGGTCAGCCGTGTCCGTCTTCGGATCGCTTGCTGTTGTTTTTGTTTCGTATGAATCCGTTTACCCTTGATCAGTGCATAGACGGTTGGTGTCGTTCTGGTCTAGGTTCTCTAGAGCGGTTTGTTTTACAGGTTCGCTCGATCCGGATAGATCTTGGTGTGATTGGTCCGGTTTACCTTCTTACATGCCTTTGTTATCAGCTGCTGGCTGAACACAACTGGCTGACAGCTCATGGAAGAGCTTGAAAGCTTGGATACCCAAGCATGTGAACACAACCAAAGCAAAGAGTCGAGCGAGACATTAAACCAAACTCAAAGAGTCAAAAAGTATCAAACAGTCAAAAAGGTAAAGGAAACGAACGCACGCGGCCACTTTTCGACGTTTGGAGACGTGTAAGCCTGTGAAATTATTTGACTCTTCGTTTTTTTGGTATTGGTCTCACTTCTCCCAATAGAGGAGAGGCTTCATTAAGAGAAGAGAGGCGCAATTAAGGAAAAAAAGGAGGTTCCACAAGGAGAGGGCTGGATTAAAACAAGACAGGTTCCATAGAGAGAAGAGAGGTTCCATTGAGAGAAAAGAGGCCCGATTGGGAGAAGAGAGGCTCTATTAAGAAAAGAGAGGTTCCATTAGGAGAAGAGTCGAGGGGTTTGATTTGGACAAGGGATGCTGCACTCAGAGAAGAGATGATTTTTTGTTTTATAGTGGTGGACTAGCACTTAGAATTGCTTAACGTTCTAGGGGTGCACTTAGAATTAGGTGTCGGTGTCAGTTCTGCAGATAGAATTAAAGTGATGTTTTTAGGCAGTGATTATGCAGTTAGAAGTAAACATTCATTCATCCGACATACATGCAATCCATCATATTTAAAGGCTTACGCCTAACAGCCGGGCGCCGGCCACTTGGGTCTGTGGGGAGCATGTCGCGCCTATGTTGGCCTTGGTGGGGCCTATATTGAGCAAAGTTAAGCTATCTGGTGCGCATCTTGGCCCTAGGTTGGGCCAAGTTGGGCCCATGTGGTCTATGTTGGGCACATCTTGGGCCCATGTTGAGCCTATGTTGGGCCTATGTTGGCCTATGTTAGGCCTATGTTGGCCTAGGTTGGGCCCATGTTGAGCCATCTTGGAGGCTATGTTGGGCATATGTTGGGGATATGATGGCTATCTTGGGCCTATGTTGGGGATATGTTAGGAAATGTAAATCGTCTGGAGGGCCTCTACCGACAAAGTGTCGATTAAGCCTGTCCGCCCGGCCCGCATTACCGACACCACCCTTGAAAAACACAGCATTTTTGCATTTTTACCTTTTCCCCGCGTCGTACTTCGATATGCGCAATAAACCCTGTAAAACACAGTGTTTTTTATACCTCACACACACGATAACACTGTAAATTACAGGGGCTTCAGTTGACCGGTCGTCCCCCCGTTTTGATGACGAGGGTCGGCGGCAGGGGGCGCGCCCGTATATAACCTTCGGTTACCACCGAAGGCCCTCCGGGCATGCCACGGGCGTCCTGGCCGGCGCCCGGATTACCAGGCTACCGCCTGCAGCCGCCGACCCCCAAGGGATAGAACCTTAGCGCTAGCCTTGCTCTATGTTAGCCTTAGCCTTAAGCCTTAGCCTTAAGAGTGCAGACCCAACCCAGCACCACCAAAGCAGGTACCCAAAAAGTCGACTTTTTGGGTACCTCCCAGATTTACCATCGGACGTCAGCTCTTGCATGAACCCCGATCATTGCCCAAGAATTTAGACCCAACCCTTCACCACCAAAGCAGGTACCCAAAAAGTCGACTTTTTGGGTACCTCCCAGGTTTACCAATTTAGACCCAACCCAGCACCACCAAAGCAGGTACCCAAAAAGACAAAGCCTAGAGCATTCCTAGGAAAATGCCAGAAAAGCCTTTGAAAATCTCATAAACCAACAGAAAACGTGACAAAATCTACGAAAAAGCAAGGGCATTGGCCGGGACCTTGCCGCGACCAGCCCGGGATTCGAGCCCAGGACCATTTTGGACCGTGCTTATTTTCCCGCGCGGGTCGAGAGGGTGCCCCAAGATGTAAATCAATTGGGATGGCAGAATCTTGGACAATTCCCGGGTCGCTCAGGGCGGGATTTCGTCACTGCAACAAGGGTCCGGAGGGGTAGGGGAGGTAAGGTCTAGGTCTAAGGCTAAGGACTAGGTCTAAGGTCTAAGGCTAAGGCTAAGGCTTAAGGCTAAGGCTAACATCGACAGTCACGCCTCACCCCACGGTGTGGGGTCGGCGGATTTTACAAGCAAAAAAACATCAACAAACGCGCAATTCCTTTTTTAACTGCATTCAAACATATGTGTTCAAACAAATTCTCAAAAGAAAAAGCTGTTCGCCGATAATTTACCATCTATCTAGAAACCAAACATACAATTTGTTGTGAAAACCCGTCCTCCAGTTGTAAATGTAGCTCGGACAAATTCATTGCAACTAGAGACGCGCCGGCCTAAAAGAGCGCAAACCTTAAATAGAAAACGGTTGCTGTTTGAGAAAACTAAGATAAACTAAGCATCAGTTGCTTGCATTGATGGGGTTCTACCCTTATCTTTACACTCTGCCCTTCCTACTCATTCCTCAAAAAACGCAATCTCAGGTCCTTTCTTCCCTCAAGCACCGCAAGCTGCGAGGCATTGGACGCTCTCATGTGTGGCAAACTCATTCAATCTTGCAATAATGTGGCAATGTCAAATCTATGTGGCAACTTTAATTCTATATCTTCGTTTTTCACTCCAAACAGTTCTAACTGCTTGTTCCAGATTTCTAGGAATGTCCTAGGTTCCTAGTTTTCTTTATCATAAAGATATTCTAACTGCTAGTCCGCCACTATAAGAGAAGAGTGATTCGATTAAGACGAGAGGTTCCGTTCGGAGGAGAGAGGTCCCATTTCGAGAAGAGAGGTCACCGAGAGAAGAGAAACCAGTAATATAAGATCAGTTAAGATACTGAAGCTGATATACCTTGGGAGAAAAGTGGGTTTCTTGGGTGTTCCTGCCTGAAAGTGTCCCTTCTTCTGTGTATTTCTTCGAGAGTCTTTGGGACTACAGTGTATTGGCGTACTAGGTGAGCAAGAGACAATAAGGTAAGCTAACCAAAGTCTTGAAAGGTGAGTTTTGACGCAGGGACAAGAAGTTATTGGGAGATGGAATTGCGCAAGAAGAGGGTTCCATCATCAATGTGTTTTCATGATGGTCGATTGTTGTTTGATTTCAAGTGTGTTGCCCTGTACCCTACAACAAATGACTTCATCTCGCAAGAAACCACCTGATCCTTGGGGCAGCGCCTCTGTTCAGTCTCGCCCGAACCTCTTATGTAAGCCTTTGCGCACTTGTCCTGCAGCCGACTTTTGATGTTGGAGGGGAAACAACGAGTGTTGGAGTGTAGCGGGAGCCTCAGACTTGTTCCCATATGACCTTCCACATCACGGTCCTCCTGCGTATTTTCTGCGTGTGCAACGCTGCCAAAGTAGCTGCCGAGTACCAGCAAGAGATCTCACAAGCGCGTGCTCTGACCCAAGCTGCGAAGGTGTTGGCCGAGAAGATTGCTCACCCTGCTGAGATGTTTCCTGCATTTTCTGTGTTGGGAAAGGCCCGGTAGAATTCTTCGCGGGGTCTATCACGTGAAGCTGCCCTGCAGAGACGAGGAAGAACGCTACTTCGTGTGCCCCCATGCTGGTTTCCTACTCCTGCGGCCCACAACGAACCAATCTAGGGGCAAGAAAGGAGTGATCAAAGACATGTGAGCTTTTGCACGACAACCTGGCTGCCGCAAGTTTCTGAATTTTTGCTTTGCGCCCCAGCGGGTTGAATGTGAGCCACCTGCTTCTACTACGATTTGGACTGGGCGGGGGTTCTTTCCCGCGGCTCAGCAGTGCCCTTCTAAAGACCACCCCGGACGTGGAAGGTTCCGTCTTTTTCAAAAATGACTGTCACAAGAAGCAAGATGATTTCCAGTGGGCTTGGCTTATACCACCTGTTTCTGACCTACATTTGTTCATCATGGAAATTCGCAACAGGAAGTCTTTCCCTTGGCCTTGGCATTGGACATGAGGTTGTGGAAATGCGGACGCAAGTCAGCTTTTTGATGGAGAAAGTCCACAGGCCATTGGACACTGGGACATTCTTCTGGGACAAACGAGCATTTCGGCACTTCGTATGAACGCAAGTCTCCAAA